TTGGCGTTTACTAAACGGCCCCGGGTGTTCATTAAAAGCCTTGCCGTGTTCGATTTCTTTTTTGGGTGCGTCTACTAAACAGCTTCGCTTGTCGGGGTGGTTATTATGGGGGTGGATTTTTGTCCTCTAGAATACGAAAACGCTCACCCTCCAAACCCGCAACGACGAGTTTTTTTCTCACAGCCTGGAGTCCTGAAGGTCTCGACCCCTTGCCCGGGACCAGTTCTCCACCCCGGGGGCCGCCTTCCGACGCTCCTGGGGCCCCGGGGACGGCCCCCGAGAGGCCGGACATCTTGAACGCCCTGCGCTGGTGATCTTCTCCTCAGGGTTTTGATCGGCGGCGAGCGAGGGGGGAAGTGAGAAGGGGCGGGCCTTCTCAGAAGGCTCAGAAGTCCCCCGGCCTTCTGAGAAGTGTTCGAAGCCCTCCCCGAAAAGGCGCAGAAACAACTTCTGAGAAGGCGCGAGGGCTTCCGAGAGGTCCCGCGCCGCCTTCTGAGGAGGCCTTCTCCTCCTCTTGCTTCCCCCCCTCGCTCGCAGCCGAAAAGAGCAGCATCCCAGCGTGGCTTTTTCCCCCGGCTCGTGCTCCTCTGTCCTGCCCCTGCGGCTCTGCCCTTCGCCGAGCGCGCTCCACCACTCGCAGAGCGCCTACTCGCAAACGCCCGAAAAGCACGTGTCTGCTTCGATGTAATTTCTCGTAGATCCCCTCCGGCGGATCCAGGCCATTTGCGAGTAGCTACTTTGCGAGTTGTGGAACGCGCTCGTCCAGCTCTGCCCTGGACCCTCCGCTGCCCTCCCGCGGCGCCGCCGCCCGTCGAGCTCGCGGGCCCCACCGCCTGGCGCCGCGGGGGAAGCCCTGCACGGCCCGAGGGCTCTCGGGCCACTCCGCGGCCGCTTCCCCCTCCTCCTCCTCCTCCTCCTCCTCCTCCTCCTCCTCCTCCTCCTCCTCCTCCTCCTCCTCCTCCTCCTCCTCCTCCTCCTCCTCCTCCTCCTCCTCCTCCTCCTCCTCCTCCTCCTCCTCCTCCTCCTCCTCCTCCTCCTCCTCCTCCTCCTCCTCCTCCTCCTCCTCCTCCTCCTCCTCTCCTCCTCCTCCTCCTCTCCTCCTCCTCCTCCTCCTCCTCCTCCTCCTCCTCCTCCTCCTCCTCCTCCTCCTCCTCCCTCTCCTCCTCCTCCTCCTCCTCCTCCTCCTCCTCCTCCTCCTCCTCTCCTCCTCCGCCTCCTCCCCCTCCCCCCTCCTCCCTCCTCCTCCTCCTCCTCCTCCTCCTCCTCCTCCTCCTCCTCCTCCTCCTCCTCCTCCTCCTCCTCCTCCTCCTCCTCCTCCTCCTCCCCCTCCTTAAGCATTTTGGCTCATGCACATGCCGAGCTGGTGCTTGGTCGGCGCCCCTGCGCCCCGCCTTCCCGTCGCCCATGGTTGTCGCTGCCCGCATTGCGTACCTCAGGCAACTGCTTGCGGCTGGCTGTAAACTGGTCGTCACGTCGGCCACGAACGAGGTGACCCTCATCCAGAAGCTCACGGTGCACGTCTACCCTGGAGTTCGTGTGGACGCTGGCATGCAGATCTTCGCAGGTGTCGCTCTGGAGTGGATTGCTACTGTTGACGTTTCGCACGCCATTGTGGACCGTGGCCACAAACACTCCGACGGCCACTCTCGAGTCGAGTTCCTGATTAGTGGAGCACGTCCTGATGCAGGCGGGCAGCCTCCTGGCGATGGAGGTCTTCCTGGTGACGCTCAGGACGGTGATGAAGATGCTGGGCATGGTGGACACTTTCGGCGTCCTCGGCGCGCTCTGTCTTCTGGCCCGTCAGGCGGTGCTGATGGCTCGGAGGGCGGTGGCGGCTCACCTGGTGAAGAACCTGCTGGTGCCAAGAAGCCGCGTATGCAGGTGTGGCTTCCTGTTCCCTTGGGCTTCCCGATTATCCCACCGTTTCCCTTCAATAGCAATGCTACAGAATTTTGTCCTGCTGGTGCTAAGGCTGCAGTCTTTCCCACTGAGCTTCGAGACGGGTCCCTTCCTGGTGTGCAGGTGGGTGCGGATCTCGCTTGTGAAGTGGTCACTCCTACTCTTCCCCCTGGTGATATGGATTTCGTATTGTTCGGTTACCCATCGGATGTTTCTCCTCTTCTTCCTGAGCCCGCTGCTCTTCCAGGTGTTGCAGCTCTACTCCCTGATGGCGATCATGGTTCTGTTCCGGGGGCTCTGCCTTCTCATCCGTCCGCCGACCGAGGTGGCGAGCCTCCTGTATCTGACAGTTGTACGAGCATGGACAGCATTCTTGCAAAGCTGGAGTGCCTTCAGGCGGCAATTGCGGCGAACGTTCCTCGTGCGCAGGAGGAGACTGGCAGTCGTGGTCTTCCTGAGGGTATGCTTCGGGGCGCAGTGCTGCCTGAGGTTCCTCGTCCCGTTCGTCGTGAAGTACTCTTCCTTTCTGGTGGAAGTGACTACTGGCCTTACGATGAGCCGAGTATTGGAAGCCTCTGTGTGCAATATGATTGGCCCTTGGACGTTTTCATCAACAAGTTTTGCATTGTCACAGAGGGTGTGTTCATCGGACGAATAGGTCGCATCTTTGCGGTAACAGAGACGGATGTCAAGCTCCAGATATATTGTGATGTGGTTCGCACGGCGGTTCCTGCTTATGATGCCCTCGAATGTCGTGATCCTTCGAGCACGAGGGCTTGGGAGGCCATGCTGCTGGAGAAGACTGTCAATGGCGAGCTCCCAGCTGGCTCTGCGAGTACTTCTTAGAGGCGTTCTCTGGAGTTGAATGTGGGCTAGGGAGGGAGTGGCTTCGGTGGTCTGGCCCTTTTACGGGTCGGCACGGCCAGGTGGGTGCCTCGTGTGGGCGCCCCTGGTGATGCTGCACACCTCTGCGTTCAGGACTCAGGGGAGGGTGCTTCGGTGGTCTGGCCCTTTTTGGGGCTGGCACGGCCAGGTGGGTGCCCTGTGGGGGTGCCCCTGGTGACGCCCCAGACCCTGGCGCACGGACGGACGGGGCTCGCTACGGGCTCCGCGGGGTGGGGTGGGCGGAAAAAAAAACTCCTCCTCCTTCTCGTCGTCGTCAACCCTTCCTCTTCCTCCTCCTCCTCCCCCTCCTCCTCCTCCTCCCCCCTCCCCCCCCCCCTCCTCCTCCTCCTCTCCTCCTCCTCCTCCTCCTCCTCCTCTCCTCCTCCTCCTCCTCCTCCTCCTCCTCCCCCTCCTCCTCCTCTTCCTCCCCTCCTCCTCCTCCTCCTCCTCCTCCTCCTCCTCCTCCTCCTCCGCCTCCTCCTCCTCCTCCTCCTCCTCCTCCTCCTCCCCCTCCTCCTCCGCCTCCCCCCTCCTCCCCCTCCTCCTCCACCTCCTCCTTCTCCTCCTCTTCCTCCTCCTCCTCCTCCTCCTCCTCCTCGTCCTCCTCCTCCTCCCCCTTCCTCCTCCCTCCTCCTCCTCCTCCTCCTCCTCCTCCTCCGCCTCTTCCTCCTCCGCCTCCTCCCCCTCCCCCTCCTCCTTCTCCTCCTCCTCCTCCTCCGCCTCCTCCTCCGCCTCCTCCTCCTCCTCCTCCTCCTCCCCTCCCCTCCCCTCCTCCTCCTCCCCCTCTCCTCCCGCCTCCTCCTCCCTCTCCTCCTCCTCCTCCTCTTCCTCCTTCTCCTCCTCCTCCCCTCCTCCTCCTCCTCCTCCTCCTCCTCCCTCCTCCTCCTCCTCCTCCTCCCCCCCTCCTCCTCCCCTCCTCCTCCTCCTCCGCCTCCTCCTCCGCCTCCTCCTCCTCCTCCTCCTCGTCCGCCCCTCCTCCCTCTCCCCCTCCCCCTCCTCCTCCTCCTCCTCCTCCTCTCCTCCTCCGCCTCCCTCCTCCTCCTCCTCCTCTCCTCCTCCTCCTCCTCCTCTTCCTCCTCCCCCTCCTCCTCCTCCCGAAATCCGGTGGGCAGAACCCCCACCCTGACACGTCGATTCGTGAATTGTCCGTTTTCGGTTCTCGAGAGGGCGCCGCGGCCGTCGTTTGCCAGGCTTGCGCCCGCCAGGTTTGGGCCCGAGGTCGTCTTCCTTAATCCGTGTTTTGCTAAAGGGGGTTCTATCCATCCCCGAATGTGGGGGGAGGGTGAGCAGTCGAATGCTCCTGGGCGCGTGCTTTCATTTTTTTCTTGTTTTGCTTGTGCGGGGCCCAGGTCACGCGTGCGTCCAGCGGCTGAGGCACGACTGCGATCGGCTTACCCGATGCCCCCCCTTCTTGCCGTCGCCGTACTTTGCGCCCGTAGTTCGCTGCGGACACGTTCCGCCGTCAGCCCGAACGCTTGTCGGGCCCCAACCCGCTGCACACCAGACTTTTTTTGTTCTCTCGGCGCGCGGGGGTGGGCTTCTCGTCTTCCCTCCGGGCAGGGGGCGGCGGCCGGTGCGAACGGTTCCCCCCCCTCTTAAGATACACTCTTGGGAGACCAAATTCGGCATCGGCGCTGGCATACCTGTTGTCGAAACCCGACCTCGTCAGGCAGAATCCCATGCAGTCTGGCCGAATCCCGTTCAATCCAGACCCCCGACACGTTTTTGTTCACAACGTCGACCCCCAGAGGTCTCGGCCGTAGGAATCGCTAGGAATCCTTGGGAATCCCTAGGAATCCTCAGGAATCCTTGGGAAACCTGAGGAATCCTTAGGGATCCCTAGGAATCCTCAGGAATCCCAAAGGAATCCTCAGGATTCCCTTGGGAACCTTTAGGATTCCCCCAAAAATCCATAGCGGCCGAGGGGCCCGCCGAGGCCCCCCCGGGGCAGCCCACACACAGGAGGCCGTCCGCCGTGATCTCCACGCGACGCGCCGGGGGCCTCGGGGGGTCGGCGGCGGCCACGGCGGCGGCGGCGAGGGCCGACGAGGCCGGCGGCCGCGACGACGGCGCGCGGCGGCGACACGGCCGTCGCTGCCGTCGGCGCCGCCTCCTCGGCGGCGGCGGCCACGCGGCGGCGGCCGCGGCGGCGGCGAGGACGCCGAGGTCGGCGGCCGCGGCGACCGCCCGCGGCGGCGAGCGGCCGTTCCTCGCAGGTGCACCGCGCCTTCTTCGCGCGCCTGCCCGCCCACGCCGCGGACGAGCGCCGCGCGGGGCAGCCCGAGCCCGAGCCCGCGGCGCCGGGCTCGGCGGCGCCGGCGGAGGCGGCCTGAGGGGCGCGCCCGGGGCCTCGGCCGAGCCGCCTCGGCCGAGCTCTTCGCGCGGCTGCACGGAGGAGTGACCTTCCGCCAGGGTGGCCGTGCAGGGCCTGTCTCGAGGTCTCCGATCCGATGCGATTCGACTTCGATGGCCTCCGATTCCGACTCGGTGCGACTTCGGGTTCCGATCCGGATCTCGATCTCTCGATGGGGGCCCACTGGCCTGCCGATTCCCGCCGATTTCGGCGTCTCCCGACTCGGCTGCCGATATCCGCCGATCTGACTCCTTCTCCCTCCTCCAGATCCTCCTCCGTATCCTTCTCCCCCTCCTCCACCATCTCCTCCTCTTCCTCCTCCTCCTCCTCCTCCTCCTCCTCCTCCTCCTCCTCCTCCTCTACACCTTCATCCATCTGTGGGCGATCAACTGCGACTCCACTCTGGGCTCTCCTGCCTTTTCGGTGCGGGCCCACGGGGGCGGCCCCGGCACTGGCCTGCACGCCCGACTCTCCGGCACCCCCGCGGCCCTCGAACGCCGCGCCCCCCGAGGCCACTCCTGCTCGGGGGCCACTCCTTTGCTGCGTGTGGGCGATTCGTGGACGGCTGGCGGCGTGACGACGGCGTGCGACGTGGCGCCGCTGGCCCGCCTGCTGCCCAGACCTCCTCGCGTCGTGCACACCAATCACGGCGGGAGGTCTTTCGCTATTTTCGGCCCTCGGGGGCCCTTGCAGGGCCCCGGGAGCGTCCAAAGACCATCCAGGGTGAGAGACCGGTCTCCTGGAGGGGGTCCAGACCTCTCGGGGTCGACGTTGTGACACAATCACGACGTCGGGGGTCTGGGCACACGCCAGTCCCCCTCCTTGGGGACAGCGTGCACCGGTGAGGCCCTGGCAGGGGGACGGCGTACGCAGGAGGGGCCCTCGCGGGGGGAATCGCCTCACCTTGGCGTGCCTTCTGGAGGTCGATGCTGCGCGCTGTGTTTGTAGCGCCAACGGTAAGCTGCGGGCCCACAGGGTCACCCCCAGCGCTGGCCCGAGGCGGCTTGCAATGAGCAGCGACCCCCCTCCGAGCCCGAACTGCTCCTTGTTTCGGCCGTCGTGGCTTGTGACGCCCTCTCGGCCTGGCCACGGAGTCGTATGCGCTGATCCTGGGCCTGGGGTGGGCCCGAACAGGATCGGTGAGGTGGTCAGTTGACGTTTTCCGAGTCGTCGTCGTCGTCGTCGTCGTCGTCGTCGTCGTCGTCGTCGTCGTCGTCGTCGTCCTCGCCGCCGCCACCTCCGCCGCCGAGGCTCCATCAACCTCCACCTTCGAACGTGCAAGTCCCCCCGCACTGATTCACCCCCCCCGCGGCCCCCGAAAGGCGCGCACCAAAGGTCACTCTTGTTAGGATGCAACTCCTGGGAGGTTACAGAACTCAGCATCGGCGCCAGTATATCCGTGGTCAAACTTCCGAGGCGGGAATTTATACATGACCACTGCCTGGAGGATCAATTTTCGGGGACCTCGCAGGCGGATATGGATATATTCGGGCCCCCGGGGGCCAAAATATATCCATATCCACCGCCCGCTGGCACCAGGACGTCGTTTCCCAGGCGGTGGATATGGATAAATCCCCGCCTCGCAAAAATCCCGATTCATCCAGCCTGGTCCCGCTCAATCCGGCTGATTCCCGGTCAATTTTTGGGCCCAATCTGGGCTAGTTCGGCCCAGCGTCACCCTGATCGGGCCTCCTCATCGTTCCTGTGGAGGCCTCCCAGGAGTTGCCTCCCAGCTCCTGCCCAGCTGGGAGTTTCCCCCTCGGCCTGGGTCAGGGGCTGCGGCCCGCAGGCCGGAGGGAGTTCCATCTGCGTCGGCATGCTTTTCGCATGTCGGGGCCGCCTCGCCCGGAGGGCATCACCGAGCGCGTTCCACTACCTGCAAAGTGCCTACTCGCAAGCGTCCGAAAAGCGTATGTTCGCTTCGTTGCATTGGATCGTAGATCTCCCGCGCCAGATCCAGGCCGTTTGCGAGGAGTCACTTTGCGAGTAGTGACTTTGCGAGCAGTGGAGAGCGCGCTCGTCTAGGGCAGCACGGCGTTCGCAGCCAGCGCTGACGGCTCTGTGGCCAGAGCCGCCCTGGCGTGCCGCCGATCGGCGGCCCGCGGCGCCCTCCTCCGAGGGCGGGGCCCCCCGCGGCGCGGGGCCCCCGAGCGCCGATCGCCACGCCCGCTGCCCGGATGCCGCCCGTGCCCGCCACCGCCTAAATGGCGGCGGGCGGCAGCCGGCCGCCCTCTATCAAGGTGGGGGAGCGTCGGGAGGAGCAAGACGAGGACGAGGAGAAGGAGCCAGGGATGATGATGGTGCTGACGATGCTGATGCTGATGCTGATGCTGCTGATGCTGATGCTGATGCTGCTGATGATGCTGCTGATGCTGCTGCTGCTGCTGATGCTGATGCTGATGCTGATGCTGATGATGATGATGATGATGATGATGATGATGATGATGATGATGATGATGCTGCTGATGCTGATGCTGATGCTGATGCTGATGCTGATGCTGCTGATGCGGATGCTGATGCTGATGCTGCTGATGATGATGATGCTGATGCTGATGCTGATGCTGCTGATGCTGATGCTGATGCAGATGCTGCTGATGATGCTGATGAGGAGGAGGAGCACGGGAGGAGGGGGAGTGCCAGGAAGACCAAGACGAGGAGGGGGAGGAGGAGGAGGAGGAGGAGGAGGAGGAGGAGGAGGAGGAGGAGGTGGAGGAGCAAGGGATGATGATGCTGATGACGATGACGATGACGATGACGACGTTGATGATGATTTTGATGATGATGATGTTGATGATGATGATGATGATGATGATCATGCGGATGATGCTGATGACGATGATGATGATGATGATGATGATGATGCTGATGACGATGATGATGATGATGCTGATGCTGATGCTGATGCTGATGATGATGCTGCTGATGCGGATGCTGATGCTGATGATGATGCTGATGATGATGATGATGATGATGATGCTGATGCTGATGCTGATGCTGATGATGATGATGCTGATGCTGATGCTGATGCTGATGCTGATGCTGCTGATGCTGATGCTGATGCTGCTGATGATGATGCTGATGAGGAGGAGGAGCACGGGAGGAGGGGGAGTGCCAGGAAGACCAAGACGAGGAGGGGCAGGAGGAGGAGGAGGAGGAGGAGGAGTGGAGGAGCAAGGGATGATGATGCTGATGATGATGACGATGACGATGACGACGTTGATGATGATGATGATGATGATGATGATGATGATGAACATGATGATGATGATGATGATGATGATGATGATGATGATGATGATGATGATGATGATGATGATGATGATGATGATGATGATGATGATGATGATGATGATGATGATGATGATGATGATGATGATGATGATGATGAGCTGCTGATGCTGATGCTGATGATGCTCGATGATGATGATGTATGATGATGATTGATGCTGCTGCTATGATGCTGATGATGGTGATGATGATGTTGATGATGATGATGATGATGATGATGGATGATGAGGATGATGATGATGATGAGGAGGAGGAGGAGGAGGAGGAGGGGAGGAGGAGGAGCAAGGGAGGGGGGGAGGAGGAGGAGGAGAGGAGGAGGAGGAGGAGGAGGAGGAGGAGGAGGAGGAGGAGGAGGCGGAGGAGGAGGATGGGAGGAGGAGGAGGAGGAGGAGGAGAGGAGGAGGAGGAGGAGGAGGAGCAAGGGAGGGGGATGATGATTAGGAAGATGAGGGGGAGTGTCAGGAAGACCTAGAGGAGGAGGAGGAGGAGGAGGAGGAGGAGGAGGCGGAGGAGGAGGAGGTGGAGGAGAAGGAGGAGGCGGAAGAGGAGGATGAGGTGCAAGGGTTGTTGCTGATGCTGATGTTGATGCTGCTGCTGATGCTGATGCTGATGATGATGCTGCTGCTGATGCTGATGCTGATGCTGATGATGCTGATGCTGATGCTGCTGATGCTGATGATGATGCTGATGCTGATGCTGATGCTGATGCTGATGCTGCTGCTGCTGCTGATGATGATGATGATGATGATGATGATGATGATGATGATGTGATGCTGATGCTGATGCTGATGATGATGTGATGATGCTGATGCTGATGCTATGCTGCTGATGCTGATGCTGATGCTGCTGATGATGATGCTGATGAGGAGGAGGAGCACGGGAGGAGGGGGGTGCCAGGAAGACCAAGACGATGAGGGGAGGAGGAGGAGGAGGAGGAGGAGGTGAGGAGCAAGGATGATGATGCTGATGATGATGACGATGACGATGACGACGTTGATGATGATGATGATGATGATGATGATGATGATGAACATGATGATGATGATGATGACGATGAGATGATGATGGATGATGATGACGATGATGATGATGATGATGATGGGATGCGGAGATGATGCGGATGATGCTGATGACGTGATGTGATGATGATGAGTGATGATGAATGATGGATGATGATGATGATGATGATGCTGATGGATGATGATGATGATGATGATGATGATGATGATGATGATGATGATATGATGATGATGATGATGATGCTGATGCTGATGCTGATGCTGCTGATGCTGATGCGGATGCTGATGCTGATGATGATGCTGATGATGATGATGATGATGATGATGATGATGATGATGATGATGAATGATGATGGCCGCTGCTGCTGCTGATGCTGCTGCTGGATGATGATGAGATGATGAGGAGGAGGAGGAGGAGGAGGAGGAGGAGGAGGAGGAGGAGGACGGGAGGCGGGGGGGAGGAGGAGGAGGGAGATGAGGAGGAGGGAGGAGGAGGAGGAGGAGAGGAAGGAGGAGGGAGGAGGAGGAGGAGGCGGAGGAGTAGCAATGGAGGGGGACGATGATTAGGAAGATGAGGGGGAGTGTCAGGAAGACCAAGAGGAGGAGGAGGAGGAGGCGGAGGAGGAGGAGGTGGAGGAGAAGGAGGAGGCGGAAGAGGAGGATGAGGTGCAAGGGTTGTTGCTGATGATGATGCTGCTGCTGCTGATGCTGATGCTGATGATGATGC